TTGTAGCCTTCGTATCGCGATATAAAAATGTATCTTTGTACTCATTCTTTCTTCAGAGAGCTATTTTATTTCGGTGTGCTGCTTCCTCATTTTCAATATTGGCGACTGGCTCGGCCGGACCATCACCACAAAGATACGCTGGGTAGGTTTCCATATGTCATTTATGTTTCTGTCTAGACTGGACTTATTATATATTTCATCAGCAAAAAACTGAGCTGTTCTCATTCATTCATTCATTCATTCATTGTTTGCTTTTTTTTTAATATGACAAATATGTATGTATATATAGCAAATATGAAACAAACAAGGAGGAAAATCTTTTACTGTGTATTGATGCACAAAATTGTGCTTAAATGCAGATTTTAGCACGTTATACAAAAGCTTTTAGCACAAACGCCCAGAGCGCACTCACCACAAGACTTGTCATTCTGAGGCGACTCCCAAATCCAGCTGAATCCAGATGAATGTGTTATCCTGAGCCGGAGGTTTCTTCCTGTTAAAAGGGGCGTTTTTCCTTCCCACTGTCACCAAACGCTTCCTAAAAGGAGGTCGTTTAATTGTTAGGGTTTTTGGTCACTGGTGCTAAATGACGTAGCCACATATTTGCTCCAGTAAGCTTCAGACAGCAGTAGGTGCACTGCATTGTCTTTTAGTGAAATTGATTGTTTTGGATTTCCTGAATGAGCGTAAATCAGAATACTAGCATGCTTTTAACCAGCTTCATGTCTTCATGTATTCTCCTACATCTCTCCTCTGCAGCCCTCTAAAGAGTCCCGTCTCTTCCCGGTGCTGGTGATCTCCAGAGTCGTGTTCATCCCTCTGCTGATGTTCTGTAATGTCCAGAGCCGCAACTACCTTCCTGTTTTGTTTGAACACGACGCAGCATTTTCTGTCATCATGGTTTTCTTCTCTCTGTCCAGCGGCTACTTCGTCTGCCTGTCCATGTCCTACGCGCCACAGTGAGTACAGCGTCGACACATTCAGAGGTTACACGATCACTCCGCAGACAGCTGCAGGACTGTGTACTGATTCTTGTCATGTGGACGTGTTTTGGTTGCTTATTATTGGAATTTGGGACCAAAAGATTTACAGTTTATTAAACAGTGTTGTGTTTTTATGTGTTGTTTTGGGGCTCTGTAACAGCTTAGGAGTCTGTAACAGCTTAGTGTAATCGCCTTTTACAGCTTCTGAAATTCATCTACATGACTGTGGTGTAGTCTTTCAAATCTGTATGCCCGTTTTAGACACAACTTTGTATGTGGAAGCATGGAAATGTTCACACATGCAAAATTACCCCTGAGTTATGAAACATGCTGTTATGTTAGTGAGTCATTCTAAATCCATGGGTTTGTGCTTTGTGTCTGCAATCAGCATACTGCCACGCCTCATGTGTAGGGGAAAGGCTTCATTTAAGGCAGCGGTACCCAACCTTTATTGCACCACGGACCGGTTTATGCCCGACAATATTTTCACGGACCGCCCTTTAAGGTGTCGCGGATAAATACAACAAAATAAAACTAGTACC